GCTAACTTTGCTTTATTTATGTATAGAGGAGCAGGGATATATAGCAGTATCAATAAATCAATCTTTGCAGCGTAAAGCTGACACCATTTGGATGGGGAATGGATGGCAAAAGTTCTGTGTATGATTACACCGTTGCTCAATGTCCTTCTGTAGTAGGATGCTTGTGGACTGTCACAGATGGAGAAATCGATCGTTACTTTATGGCTTTAGTAAGTTCCCTTGCTATCCGTTTATAGTAGATAGAAAAGCTTTGGGTCCAAATTGTTTCACTTTTTTAAATCTTTGGTATATGTGCAAAGCGAAAACATGTGTACTTTTCTCAGGTTGATCTATGTTTTTCCTCCGATGGCAATCGCACATTGACTGGAACAGATGGTGCTGACAGTCGTCTTCGAGTGATCGTTGAAGCTATGCACCGAGCGAGGAGTAGATGTAAATTACCGTACTTGACAGGCGCATCTGTTGTCTCATATGGTATACCTGTAATTGCTATGGAATAATTCATTTTTCACAATTGAAGGCACAACTTATTGTACTTCTAGTCGACGAACGTCGCATAAGCATCACTGCTCGGGTTCTTCTTTTACATCTTAGCCAAACTGTATGCTCTTTGAGCAAAGTTTTTATTATAACGATTATGGTTGTTTGATATTTTACCTCTTTTGATTCGTCTATGTCTTTCATGTTGATACTCTCTAATGTCGGCTCAGTGTTCTATTTTAGTAATTAAAATTCGTTCTTAGCGTCATCGTAAAAGGTGTTAGCTAACACATGGGCTTCAACTATGAACAAGTTGTAGATTCTCTCTGCACGTATTTCTCGAAGCTACTCTTCTGATCATTATTGCCTCAGTGTACATGATTTGTATGTCCGGTCCACATTATCAATATTTGCAAGATATCAGTCTTATTGATTTGACAGAAAAAGATTGCTGATTGACCTAGCATCTTATAGTCGCTGCGTTTCAAGCTCTGGTCGCAAATTTATTCTTCATAATTGCGATGCAACATAAAGAAGTTCGTGCCTTTTTTGGACAAAAGTTGTTTGCTGCTTAATTGTGGATCGAAAAACTTTCAGCTGTAAAGCTTCAAATAGCGTAATTCTGTAGGGAAAGGTTAGATACAGGCAGAAAATTGAGATACCAAGTTTGTTGTTGTTTTTAAAAGCATCTACATAACGTCTCATGCCATATCCCAGTTTTGAATGTTGCGAGCTATGGGATGGATGCAGTCGTTTATCACATTTTCTGAGCTCAACTGATTTATCCAAAAGTGGAAGGGAGAAGAGTAAGAGTCAAGTTCCCACCTCTAACTTAGAATTTATGCAACTACTATTCGTGCCATAGCTAGAGGTTACAGTCGGAGCCATTCTGACTCGAAATGGCCTCTAAAAAGCTCTCGAACATCATGCGAGTGCTATAGTATGTTCTGGTGGCTAATTACCATGGGAAGCAGGTATCGACCAGGCGGAGAATCCTGATGTGTAACTTGTCGCAAAGTTCGTTCTGTTAGATGATGAGACTGTTGGTAAGGCTGCATTTCCAGGAGGTAAGTCAAAATCGAGTACAAGCCGTGATTGACATTGTATTCTGTGCTATCTTGCGAAGTTGATCATTGAAGCTCTCACCAAATTACATAATATTGGCAAAATAATGTAATCTCAGCGAAGTTTGGATTGGCGGATAATTCGGACAAAGATTGCGGGTCTAACTTCGTGTCAACTTTATAATTACTAAATCGGTCGTATTCTATGTTTGAGAGAGCAGTTCGGGTCAAAATGGGACACTTCAACCACTAGCCATGGCGTGATGACAGCAGAAATCACTTGGAAGAGGAGAAAAAAAGGATCTTGGATATACTGCAAAATTTTTAATGTTTCGGAAAGAAGGCCAGAGAGCCAACTCACTAGTCACATAAAATTTAATATTGGAAATAAAAATAGCACTCATACTCCTTTCAAAACAATCCCGCTTTTGTTAGATCAGCTAAGCAAGATATATAATAAAATGATTACAATATCTTCCATAATGTTGCTCATAACGAGGGAAGAGCAGTTTATAGTACAAGTTTGCATATATATATATATATATATATATAT